TAGAGGAAAGTTGTATTTCTCATCGTTGTCTAGTTTCTTTTTTTATTAAGTGTTGGTCTGCCTATAAATATTCTATCATCTGTAGTTTTCTTATCCTTCATATTTGGAGATGACAGTAATGCTGTTTCAAACTTTCTGCCCTAGTTAACAAGAAATACTGGCCTAGACTGAGTAAATATTCTGTATTCTTGTCTCCTTCTCTAGCTTCCTGACCAAAACTTAACAGCAAGATGCATGTCTTAAAAGACTTGATGAAACCGCGCCCAGATTTAGTTCTTTTTAAAAAAGAAAACTATAAGAAATATGTGCATTTCCTACTTCACAATTACATTTCCAGGCTCTTACTTCTATCAGGAAAAAGGTCCCACCTTTCAATCAAGCACCATTCTCATCGAAACATTCATTGGCTTATGTTTATGATTGAACCTGCTACTTAAAATGCATTTCCCCCTTTTTCTTATCGCTATAGTTCGGGACCTCATAATAACTTGTATTTTTTGCCTGGTGTGTCAAATCAGCTTCCTTACTGGTCACCTATAAAAAGAATTTCCTAAAACCTAGGTCCAGTATGATTCTACATACTTAAAGTTCCCACCAACCCTTAAAATCAGGTCCTCCTTAACCTGCCGTTAGTGTGTGTACATGCATGTATATGTAAGAGAGAGAGAATGTATATTGTAAGTTAATCTCGTGCCCTCTGATTTGGTCTTTATACATGAGCCAGAGAGTTCTAAGATACAGAAAACATTCTGCCATTGTTTGCTTTGAATTTAACAGCTTCTCATTGCATTTAAAATAAACCTAAGTACTATGACAAACAGTCCCTTCACAATCTGACGCCTATCCACTCATCACTTCATCTCATCTCAGGGTGTATTCCTGCTGGGGTACTGTGTATATTGCTTGCTTTCTTTAGTTTATGGGGACAAGGTTAATTTATGTTTTATTTATTAATATATCTTATCTGCTAATCCAGTATTATAGATACATGCTCTCTGTCCTCCTTTTCAAGGGTTTTAAGTTTTATTGACACATAATCCACATATTGTACAATTCAATAGTTCAGTCATATCAAGAAGAGTTGAAAAATAATTAGCACAATTTTAGAACATTTTCTTCTTTCCTGTACTTATTGGTATTAGCTCTTGATTTCCCCTCAACCTCCCCTGCCATGCCCCCAAGAAACCAGTTAGCTATCGTCTCCATAGATTCATTCATTGTGGATTTCATATACCGAAAAACATGCAAAAACAAAAATAAAGAAGCCAAAATGCTAACAATAACAAAATAGATTAAAAAAATCTTAGTAGAAAAGCAAATAAAATATTAAAAAGCTAGAACTTTAAAATTAGTCAAAAGATAACCTAACTACCTCTGCTAGAACTTTAAAATTAGTCAAAAGATAACCTAACTACCTCTGCCATAATTACTTTCCAGTGCATTCTGCGTGATAGTGAGGCTTTTCATGTCCCTCATACATGAGCAGTGCTCTACA